TTAGAAATTCCATAATCCAGCACACCTTTCCAGGTATTATTGTTACATTTCTGCTTAAGTGTTAATAAATTAGTAAGGATAACACCATCCGTAACTGGCATAGAATTTACTCCCATACTCACCTAACCTTTCATCTGTTACTACGTCATATATGCACATCATAATTCTGGCTTTCTTTTTAGCAAATTCTTCCACTTTTCCAAATTTCATTAATTCTTTAACTCTTTTGGGGGGGGGAGGAACAAACATTTCTCAGTCATTTGCTCTTACTCAATCTTGCTACTCAACACCAAGTATATGAAACAATGAACAGACAAATACATGAAGTTAATGCCCTAAAGATTGTTTAGGTCACGCAAATTAATTGTGGTGAATATATTCATATTTTTGTAATGTCTCTTTTATGAAATAAACTATATGCATCATTATCCATGTAACTAAAAATTATGTAAAATAAAATAATGATAATTTTAAAAAAAATCGAAAAAAGCATCAATAACATCTTCAATTGCCTCAATAATGATGGTTTTTACGACGTTAAAATTTGAACTTATTACTACATAAGAGTTTCCGTGCCGGGCGGAATAGTCCCACGCCAGGATTTTTTCCAGTGACAGTGTGATGAAAGCAAGTACTTTGTCCTTTTAGCCGCGGAAAAGTATAATTAAAGGAATCGTGAAAGTATTTCTACCTAAGCGAGGCTGTTGTCGGAAATAGTCTCCTTGAATTGTGGCATCAAAATAATACATGTCAAACCACGACTGTTCGGGTCCAAATGCGAGGAGCTCTTCGGTCACGACGTAGTTTTCTCCGTTGGTTCAAGGTAAAAATTTGAGTTTGAAGAGCCCGAATGTGAATGAAGCAAGAAAGGAGAACAACTCTTTGTGCGTTGCTAGCAGTATTCACGTTCAGAAGGTGGAAGTAGAAAGCTAAGAACAAGGCAAGTTGGTGTTGAGCCATTGTGTCTGGTCGTCCTATCTACTTTCAAATTAACTTAATTGTGCAAGTGATGCAAGGCTCCTTACGGATTGTTTACTTTACGCTTATCTCAAATGCTGTTATCTCGTCCAGCGCTACTCTAAAATTACAGCGTTCCAATTGTCTCAGACAAGTTTTGAGACAAACATTGTACTTATGTATGTAAGTAGATCAATATCTCAGAACATTTGAATTGTTTGTCTAGAGAGCAACCCGGGCAAAATATAATAAAACTTTACAAACCTCTTTACCTTCATCTGTTTCATTTGATACTCTGCTAATTCAGACAAACGTAAAAATTTATTCACAACATTTTCCCAAAGTACTAAATGATGCTTTTGCAACGTCATAATTAAAATCCTATGGCAGACTGATTTTCTATTTGCCTCATAACAATTTTAACAATAGTCATTAACATAATCGTATAGTTCATGACTTGACCACAAACATTTATTCCTTTGTCTTTTTTTATGTCTTGCTTACCATAACATTTGTTTGCCACTTTATCTGTTGGTTGCACAATGAAATACTTTTCGCATAACTATTTTATACTCTATCATCAGAAAATCGTTTTTAAACCAAACAAGCATGACTGTGTAAATATTTTGAAATCACCTTGGCAAATAATGATGATAATGATGAACGTTTTGGGTCAGCGACGAGCCTCAAGTGCAGTTCTGTTTTTAGCTCCTGGTTCGGCCGTTTGAATCTTACTGGTCAGAATCTCAACGCGCAGTTAAATTTAACTAACTGCTTGGGCAAAGATTGCATTTTGAGCGTTAATTTGGCCACCATTCTACGATATGCTGTTTGGCCGTCAATATATCTGACTTTTAAATAAACGTTGTCGTTAAAACTTATTTCCTGATGTTATTATGCATGCATGTGGTTCCCTTTTGGTGCTCCAACACTTTTAAAGTTAATAATAATCTGATCATTTAATGGAACGGCACGCATATCGGAAGGAGATTAATGAGATTTATATCTAGCATACTATGAGGTAGCCCCAAGAAGCTTTTGATTTATATAAATTTGTTTTTGAAAATCCTTGTGTCCATAGGAAACAAAACGAGGTGTACTGTACCATTTGCTAGACTGCGTAGACAAAACAAAGGGCTGGATCAGTATGACCTATCGGAGTAGTCTTTCACATGATCATAGACGTGAAACTCCAGTTCTGAAGTGCGTTAAGTCTAATAGAGTTCACAGCCGCTACGTTACCCTCCGTTGCGGCTCTCTTAGCACGATTCTCAAGCAACAACGTTTGAAATTATAAATTTTATGTAAATTAACTCTTTACCCAGGCTATCAATGATCATTAACCATGTAACTTAAATCAGCCAATGAGATTCTAGAAAGAGTGACTATCTGAACAATTCTCGTTATGTGATTGGGACTCGAGCTTGCCCAAGAGGCAGACGCAAAGTTGTAGAGCCCTGTTGCAGAAAATAAACGTGAACTCGGCTTGGAGAGCTGTCTCTGGAAACGTTTCTGATGAGGAGCTCTAAAAATGGGTTTCATTGTAAGGTTGGTTTCCTTTAAAATAAATGAATCGTAAAATAAGGTGTGCTCGTACTTCCGTGTTGGTTAGTTGACATCGACTTGTCGAACTTGTAAAGAGAAGCTATCCTAAAGCTTGAAATTCAAGGGGTAGTTTAACAAACGTTCTGATCCTCAGAGGGAAGAATTCATTCGTTTTCTGTTTCATTTTTCTTCGAAGTGGTTCCCCTTTGAATAAGTGAATCTCACTCTGAGATCTCAGCTAAAAGTTAAGACCTCCAGTTGGAACCTTCTGGAGAAGTTATAGTGTGCTCGTCTGTTGCGCGAACGCAAATGTATCATGATAGACTTGAGTAAATTCTGTTGTGAAGTCAGTCATCAAAAAACTTAATATGGTATAAATCCAAGCGACGAATCTTTGGTATTTATGTGTCTGTGTCGTAATAGTTTTTACATGAATGACGTTAATGCAGACTGTGTTATGAAATGCATATTCCAAAGTGGATCCGATTTTGGTGCACTGATGACGTGCTTCCAATGCTCTAAAAAAATACTCTAAGACTGTTTATGCGATATATAATATCATTTCACGAATAAAGCACTCGATGTCGCAGAGGAAATAGTCATTTGTAACTTGTGGTACGCGAAGCGTAGAAACAAATTTTTGTGGGGGCTTTGATATGAAAATGAGTCACTGACTCAACCGCAAAGGCGTCAGTAGACACCATGGTGATTAAAACTCGCACCAGCCTGACTGAACCATCTTGAAATAGATTGTTTACACAGGATAAGTGACTTAAACTAATCAGCTCATAAACTTAACTGATCCCACGGTTTTTACTTATATGAGATCATAAACAATCTATTTCAAGAACCGCGGGATCAGTTAAGTTTTTGGGCTGATTAAACATGTCATTGGGGGCTGAATCGAACGATGTCAGTAACGCACGAGCAGACCAACATTATCCTGTGCTTTTCAGACAAAAGACGACTTGTGGAATTCAATGCCACATATCTCTTGTTTTCAATCAGTGAAAAATACTTTAGGTCACCAACGGTGTGTTCTGAGGTATATTCTACAGAGGCATAAAACTTTTCGAACCTTTAATAGAGCTTTGTAATCAGGCCTAAAACCGATTATGTAAATCAGAGAAAGAACCAATGTTTATTTAAGGACGTGCCTTCTGTTTTCTTTTCTTTCGAGAGGATGAAAAGGATGGCAGCTGATAATCGCATTGAGAGAGTAAATCTAAAGTTACGGGAGAACAGCAATGGCACAATTTTGAACTACCCACGAAGGAAACAGCCATGAATAAATTGAAGCTTTAATTTAGGGGAAAAAATAAACCAGACAGATAAATATAGGGGACATGGCCGATAAAAAAAGAAATAGAGTAGTTTGAGACCTACCGGCTGGCAACCGTAAGCAATGGAGACGTTTTTCAAGGCTTTGGAAAAATTAATAAGGGTGAGTATAACTGAAATACGCTATGAAGTTACCAAAATGATGCTCTGGTGGTAAAACCAGATTTAACATTCATCGTTTGGAAAAGTTAATATCTTTTTCTTAATCAATCTGGTAGAGGCCAGGCATGCCAAAGCATTTTATAGGTAATAACAAGTCAGTCCGGCACGTACCTGCCAGAGGGCACAACTATAATGAATTCAAGGCTTGCAATCACAAGTCGGTAACGCCAGCTACAGCCACTGCTTTGTTAGACATTGGCAGAAAAAGGCATGAATGATCATTAAAGCCTACAATTTGTCATATTCCGTGAATTCTCTCTAATTACCGAGCGATAACGATTTCCAAGAGTTAGCGCATTCATTTCCTTCTGCTAACGAAGAGTTCATTAAAAGCACATGTATCGTCGGGCATGTTGCCTTTGACAATGTATGGTCACCATAAACTGTTCATCAAATTTTCTTTCATACGAGTGAAAGACGACTGTCTTCAAACCTCATATAGAGCAAAGACTTTTGCTAACAGAATACTTGTGAGATTAACTGACTTGAGTGGTTGGAAACGATTAATAAAAAGCCGGATAAGCGGATATAGAGTGTTTACCTCACGCTATTTTTCAACAGGATTTTCTAAATAAAGTAAGCTTCGCCTCTTCTATATGCTGAAGATTTTTTTATCGGTGTTTTCATGGATTGTAGATTTTGCAATAAGAAATCCATTTGTTCATCACTAGTGCTGGTCGAGTGAGATATTGGTGCCAAACACTTATTATACTGTCATTTTAATTTCAGCAAACTCGTTTGTCGACAAAATCGAGGAGTGGAGCAAGAGCCAATAAGAGGTAAGACGCTCTTACTAAAAAAGTAGTAAGGAAGATTGGTTTCGCGCTAATTTAAGCGTAACCAGTATAAACTATATATCAATGTAAAGGTTGTAAATATTCCTCATACATGTATCAACATATCACACGCCTAGAGCCACAGACTTGAGGATCAGTCAAAGATTTGTCAGCTCTGTCCATATCATTAGAATCTTAAGTCCAAATACTTGTCATCTCATGAAAAGGTGAGGGACACTAAGCTAACTATCAATTTCAGACCATGTTTTTGATGACAACGCTGATGCATCATTACCGGACGAGACCAGTGCCGCTACTAATAAAGCCACAGTTATTCAAGTTCGAGAAGCTGGAGATGATAGCATAGCTGAAGGTCATGGTGCCAATAATGACCGTACCTATGCTAAGGTCATTTTAGTTCAAGATGCCTACAGTGCCAGCGGATCCTTGAATGAAGACGCTCCGCCAGATGATCTTTGTGCATACAGATATGCTCATGATGATAACACTCACGCAACCGAAAGTGAATACAGTAATCAGTTCAATAACAGCGATGAAAGTGGCGCAACTACAAGTTTTCCCACAGGCGTTGTGCGAAAAGATCTTGACTTCAACGAGGTTCAAGAAGGTGCACTCTCTCGGTGTCATAGTTCCCATGCGAGCATGGATTTACTAAAGGTAGACCCCATGATCTCTAAATACAAGGCATCATGCAGTGACCGTCATGAGGAACATATGGACGATGACATCACAGAAGAAACTGATTTTCACCACATTTTTGACGCAGACAATGCTGCTATTGATGCTGACGAAGGAAACACTCGTAAATTTGGCTTCCATACAAGTGACATAGATCATGCTGAGGCTAAAAATACTGTTGATGACGGCAATGATGGCGAAGACGTTGGTGGCGATGGAGATGACAGAGGAGGTAGTGGTTATGGTGATCGTCTTGCCGTTGTTACTGATAGCATCGAAGAAGATAGTGGTAATGACGATGACCATGATTATAGCCACGACGGTGATGAAGATGGTGGTGGTAGTGGCCGAGATGTTAATATTGAAGAACATGGAGTAAACTGTGGTGATAATGACACTGATGGTGATGCCAAAGACGACCACGATCAAAATGGTATCGATGAGTCCAGTGGTCATAGTAATGGTCGTAACTGTCAAGTATTCTTAGTTGTAGACCCTGAGGTGATTCGCTACATTTTTGAAACTGTGCATAAAGATGAGTTCAACAAATTTTTGAAAGAGCAAGGAATCGAGTTCGATTGGAAGGATGGAAGTAATCTCGCAAACTTTAACTGCATCGGTGATACCGACCAGGAAACCTTGACTTCCCGCGTTAGAGCTGCACAGTCGTTTGTCGGCAATTTTCGCAAGTATGAAATTCCCATGGAAAAAAACATTTGGAAAGCTGTCAAGAAAGACCTCCTTCCAACGGATGGATTTCCAAAGATTCAATATCTCGAGGCGGATTTGAAGCTGAAGGTTATCGCAAAGGACCCTGAGGGCAAATACAGGGAACTTATTGAAGAAAAATTGCCCACAAGTTCAACCCGTTTTCACTATTCTAAAGGACATATTTCGTTACTTAAGAAGACAGACTTTGTTCAAAACAACGTAAAAGAAAAATGTAAACAGGTAGACGTTTACCTTGATGAAGAGAACGAAGAAGTTCGCCTACAGGGTCCAAGACATGAGTTAGATTCTGTTAAGGAAGAATTCTTAAAGCAAAGGCAAGCTACTCATGAAAAAAGGTTAAACGATGAACTAAGTCAGAACGTAGTACGATTTCTCGCCACAGAAAAAGGCAGAAATGCAGTTGAAGATGTTTTGCAAACTCATAGATTTAAAGCCGTCATTGAATTCGAAACCTTTGCCGGGAAAAAGTTTGCGAAAATACTTGCAAATTCTGCCGAAGATTTGAAAGAAGCAGTTGCTCGTACATCCAGAATAGTTCATGAGGAAGAAGTAGAGGTTGATGAAAAAAATTTGACTTTGAAATCACATCCTGAATGGAATGAGCTTTGTTCGAATGAAATGAAAAAGAATCCTGGTATGAGCATTCAAGGCCCCGATAGACCCAGCACTCTGCTCATAGGATTTACAGAACAAGTTAAAAGCTCAGCCAAAAGGTTGCAACAGTTTTTGGATGAAAATTCGATCAGAACAGAGCAAATCCATTGTCGATCTTGGTTAATCAAGCAGTACATAAAAGTGCATCGAGATAAGGACTTGCGTTTGAAAGAAACAGAACTGGTTCAATCAAGTGTGGAGTTTTTTGCCGACGAGACAAAAGATGACATATTTCACATTTCAGGCCAGGGGAACGGTATTCATGAAGCGAAGAAATTTCTTACTGAGATCATTAACAACACAGAAGTCAACTCCTTCACCATTGAACAACCAGGCCTTAAAAAAACCTTTGAACGGATACGGGACGCACTTCTTACGAGTTCAGGAACGCATTGTCTGCTTGTCACCGAAAGTGTAGAGGAGATGATGCAAATCACCACGGCCAACGGACAAACCATCTGCAGAAAAATTGGGAATATAAGCGAAGAACGGGTTAGTATACAAGCTTTTACCACCGAAACTGCTGTGCCGCTGATATTGCTCTAGCACTCGTTACCCTTGTCCTTTATGATGTTCATGTAATTGTCATGTTCGATCACCTTTAGCGTGATTGAATAATATCCACATGCATGCGTTCATCAACCTGGTATTTTAAGAGGATAAGGTATTTAAATAACGGATCTTTGACTTTTTTCATTAATATCATTATTATTATTTTACTACTCGCAGGCGCATACAGTGGTGATTCCTACTGGAGAATGTTTCGACGCGATCAGGATGTCTTATCTATCCGTGAGTCCCGTGTCAGAGTCTGTACCAGTCGGAGGAACTTCCTTGTCACCTCGTTACATTGGTTTGCCATTTCAGCGTGTGATTCATACGCACTGTACTGATTGGAGCGAAGGTTTGGGAGAGAAGGTTAGTATAAGAATAAATGGAAATTATATTCTCCCAGATAAATGTTAGAGCCTTGTTCAAAATAAGAAACGTGCATTTAAAAGCTTTAAAGCTGCCATGGAGAAAGCAAGATAATTTGAAAATTGACGACAAAGAATGAGAAAAGTTGCAGGCGTTCACTTGATACCGACCTTGAATCACTTTCCTTCCCTGAGGAGAACCAACAACTTTGTGAAAAATTATAAATACAATACAATGAAAAAAAAAGTTTAAAGTGAAAGACGATTTCCAGTGTCAGAAACGTACCTTTGCAATTTCCACTGCCGCCTTAAAGTCAATACCGCACTTATTTCATATGCAAAAAACGCAGGCCCGTGCGCAAAAGTTAAAGGCTGTTTAACCTTTCTTTTCACTCTCGCGATTGCGACGAGCATAAAACGCTTGTAAACCTCTAGAAAAGCATAGGCATGCTACGCATGCAAGAGTTATCTTTTTTGGGATGCGTAGGTCTCCGTCAAAGACAAAATCAAAAATATAATAATAATAACAATAATAACAACAATATTAATAATGATAATAATAATAGAAATAACAGTAGTGATAATAATGATGATAACGATGATACTGATATGTTCACAAATTATGGAGAGACGATGAGTAGTTCATACGATAAAATTTAAATTTATGATTTCACCATTACAACTTTCAATGAAAAATTGATGCCAATATGAACAGAAATGAAATGTTTTGACATTTGCATTGAGGGCCAAAGATAAGGGGACATCGCGTACTTCTGGTATGCTCATGTAATACGTGTATGCGTATGCTGGCATACTCGTATAAGTGATGTGTGGCTTTCTCGTATGTGCCTTTGTTATTCATTGCCATACCAAAAGAGATGGTGAAAGGCGCCGGCCCGCAAAAATGACAGTTGCCAAATAACCATGAAGATATCAATGAAAGCTATCGTAGGCAAATTTCTGAACAACAAGTGGGTAAATCTTTAGCATCTGTTTTTCTGTTTTCTAAACTTAATCAAGAAATAGCTCCTGACCTTTGATCGCTTGCAGCGGTTCTACTGGGCATAATTCGCTGATTCAGACGGTAAAATGTTCTCTCTTCGAAGACAAGATTTTCCTTCAAAGTTCCCATAATGCATCTATCACACCTATTAGATTTTTCTGGGAGGAAAAGTTTTGTTTTCATCCCGCTTGTTAAAGAGCCCATTGAGAAATGAATATGAGGTGTTGATTTGTCTTCTGTACTGTAACGGTGACGGCGGAAATCCAGCGGCGGTGAAAATCCAGTTTTACTCTGTCCTCCTGATTTACACTACGTAACTTGCCCCCGTGAGAGTCTCACCGAGTTGAACTGCCTTCGACTTAAGGGTAAAAGGACAGATGTAGTTCCCAATGTACTTTTCAGAGTATTTAGAATTACATGGTTTGATAGCGACGTGCAATTATAACGTAATGAAATGTCAGACCCCTCTCGTGACTCAGACAAAGTGTATTTTTCAACTGTAGTGAGAGAAAAGTATGCGAATGGAGGTAGTTCGCTTCAATCTTAAGCTATTTTAGCGTGTGCAGTACTGCTCACTGGTTTATCAGTAAAAATCAAATGACAAACTTTCATTTGAATTAAGTATCAGTGATATCTATCCGAGGATAAATCCTCTGCTAATGCTAATTTGGGACACTAGAAGAGGCTCGAAACGATGAAATTAACGTATACCCTAAACCTTGATATTGCGATGAAATTAAGAAATGCCCTATGAGAGGTTTGAATTTTGCTTTTTACACCAATGAAATCTATAAAGTAGATAGAAGGAAAACTTGATTTAGAGATCAACATAATTTAGAGAATTCATGAAAATTTCACATCAATTATTAAGCAGCTCAGCCACATACAATAACATGTCTAAAATTCGGGTAGTTTGCTACATAAGATACAGTTCTCACATTCTCGTACCATCTTGGTGAAAGATTGACAAGACGGATTTGTCTTTTGAATGAGCACAGAGATGGCAAAGTTCTTAGTTTAGGCGAGAGTCGATTTGATAGTCTGGGTCCTAAAAAAAATCTTGAGAAGTGTTTCCCATAGGTGAGAGTATTAAATCTTGGGGTGTTCAAATCCGCACCTCCGAGGTTGTAAGTTTTTCACTGACAACAAATTTATAATGCTCTGAGGACAGAGGTTGGGGCTGTATGCATGGAATCAAATACTTCCGAAATATCCGTTAAAAACAAATTTATATACTAGCTGCTAACCTCCACTGCTCAATTAAGCTATTAAGGGTAGTTTCTCAGCGGCAAGTTTCACGGTGGGCTGTCAGAGCCTGTTCTAGAGGACAATCGAACTTACCTACATAATTGTCTCGCCATAACCTGTTCAAAGACCTTATCAGCAACTGACAGGACAGTGACTGGTCGATAATTCTTTTGTTGTAAGGGGTCACTCGTTTGAAAACTGGAACCCATTCTCCACTTTTCCACGGCTGTGGCTGTTTTCCATCAAATATTAATTTTGTTTAATAAAAAAGTAAGTGAGCCAGCAGATTCCTCTGCTTCAACCTTTAGAAAAAATGTGGAATGGAATCACAGTCTGATGCTTTTTTTCACTGTCAGTGACTCCAACACTTCTCGGACTTGGCCGTTTTGAAGAGGGTCAACTTGAGTTAAACACATTCATGTTGTGTCGATTGGTGTGCTGTTCTCGACACTTTCTGTTTAAAACTCAACATTTTCTCCCCCGATACCATCTATGATTGCTGTAAAATAATCAGCCAAGTTTTTTGCTATCACGTCTTGATCCTAGTCGATTTCTTCGCCAACTTTAAGATTGAGATCCGGGCGTTTTGAAGTAGCATTCGAGCAGCAGGGTTTTCCTTGAGGTGATCTGAATTATCCTTCCAGCATAATTTGACTGCCATCGACCTTTGTCTTATGGCTTCATTTTGACATTTACGTAGCTTCTCCCAGCTGGATTCCGATTTGCCATTATGAAAACTCGTTAAAGCCCCTCTCTTATCTCTGTTAGCGTTCTTCCAGTTCATTATTATATAAGGTATATCCTACGCTCTAACCTCTCAACCTCTTTAGGGGAAGATTTTCATCAGTATACTCCAATAGGGCATGTTATCTTCCATCAAAAATTACTCCTTTATGCCAAGGAACTTCAGAAAGGTCTCAAGTAAATCTGTCACAAGCAAAGTTTTGGTAGATCCTAAAAGTAATCACTCACATACATACATACATACACACACACACACACACACACACACACACACACAAACACACACACACACATACACACACACACACACACATACATACATACATACATACATACATACATACACACACACTTTATTTGAGTGGACTAGAATAGAGCAGCCAAAGGCTGGTGTGGACCCACACACATATAGGCTAGAAAACTATAAGAAGTAAAATTATTTTACAGATACACATAAAAAGTTCACAATATATTCATTTGTAAGGTATGCTCGAAACAATTTTGAAAATAATTAAAATCCTCGGATTTTATTGTAACAATGGCAACTTCTTTGTTAACAGAAGAAGCCTCCAAGTCGCTTTTGATTTTCTTGTAGACGCTTAGAAACTATTTAAACTACTCGAAACATCAATCATTTTGTTAAATGTAGTTCCATATAAGGGGTCCTCTGTACCTTAAGGAATTTCTTCCAACCTCAGACTTAGGTCTGGGTGTAAACATCGGATTTACAGCTAGTGGAGATTTACCAGAGACTTTCTTTGAATACAGTTCATCAGGCCAAAAAGACAGGGAATCAAAATAAACCATGTGCATGAATACAAGGAAAGGCCTCTTGTAAAAATAAGAAATAGAGGGGCAGCGAGAATTCAAAAGACATTCAGCATCAGAAATAGACGAATCAAGATTGAAAATGATTCTCGCTGCTCTCCAATGTATCGAGTCCTTAGAAGAAAAAAGGGCCGTAGAGTATGTAGTTTCCCCAAATTCAAATACAGTAAGTTAGACTCGGAGTTATTGTCTTGAAATAAATCTCTTTCAAAGTCATTACACGTAGATATCTCGTTCGTTTTGTTGCTTTAACCTTTCTTTTCACAAAAGACTTTCTGACTTGAGAAACATCTTCACACCATTTAACAAATGGTAAACACCACAGCGTACACTATTGAGTTATGGATGCACGCGGGAGGTTGCTAAGCACGAAAGAAGCGTAAGAGTCGCGCGAGGTGATAGCCGAGAGCGACTCTAGCTTCTTGAGTGCTTAGCAAACCTCCCAAGTGCATCCATAACTCAATAGTGTACGCTGTGGTGTTTACCTTTTGTTTTATAACATAACATTGATACATCGTAGCTAAAGAGTTCCCTTTTATTTAACAAATCTTACGTGACCAGAAAATACAAGCGCGCACGAAAAAAATTGTCTTTGCATTTGCTCACGTCAGCAGCGTACACTCATAGGCATAAAAGATAAGGTAGTGTCATCAGCATACAAATAGACATCTCCAATAGTTCAATACTATACTTCACTTGGTTGTGGCTGAATTTTTTCCTTCATGGTTTCATAAATAAGCGCATGATCACTAAGTAGTGGGTGGTAGATTCCTCCACATTTAAATTACCGAGGTTTATTTGTTAACAGCATATCACTATAGAATAGAGGTTATTATTGACCCTTTGTTCTCCGTGCGCGTTGCTTTATCGATAAGACAAGTGCGGTCTTGTTCGCCTTGAAAATCCATTCGCCGCTCTCCTTCAGTTCTGCCTGGCCTAAATCTATCAAAGTTGAGATCGACAAGGAATATAACTAAGGGCGTCTTTAAAGGGGCTCAGGTACAAAAGCTACTAAGTTCATCCTCAACTTTCAGCTGATGGTCACCCGTTACAGGTTTGGGTGGACGATAAATACTAATGACGATCATGTCAGTAATACCAGTTCTTGAATGTTTTTTTCTAATCCATTTTCACTGCATTACCGCAGTAGGGTAGGACTAGAACGCAACATATACGATCCATGCGAGTAGTACACCCATTAAATCCCACCCATCCCACCCGGGAGAGGACATCCATCACACAGTAATCTCGTGCGTGGGAAATTAACGTCTCCTACCCCTAACCCTACTGCAGGGGGTTCCAGGGTCTTATAGGTCCTGTTCATTAGCCTTTTTACAGGGAAGTAGTGCTGCTACGAATACCAAGGTACCATTCCCTCCTGTCATTGCGGAACAAGGTAAACACTGAGGTGTTAGAAATTACAATCAGGATATGTGGAATCGATTTTTGTCTTACTGATAAAGTTAATGTGAATCTTAAGCTTCTTGATTTATGGAAACAAGTTCTTAAAATCTCTTTTCAATGTCTTTCAATGTTCAAATGGCATAAAAGTATGTCCTTCACATTTCTCCTTATATTTTCCACTGGCTCGTTTCTTTGTTCAGTAGTATTAATAGACGAGTTGTCTCGAGCAGAGAGGGAACTCGACTCCGAAGAAAGCGATGGCACGATAAAAGAGTCTGAGAAATCAAAAAGCAAAGCACAATTAGTTCCGTCGAATAACCATTGAGTTGGTGAATTACTTAAAGTCACTTAAATCTTGAGATCCATATCGATGCTTTTAATATGAAACCATCTACCATGTGTATCGCAGCTGTTAAGGCGGACTGACTTTCCACAAATAGCACATGGAATATCCACACCGGTTTCCTACCACCTGTGCGATTAGCATCGGGCTTTTAACTAATATCTACACTTGTAAGAAGTGATCCAGTTTGAAGGTGGCAAAAGAATTAGGATAGCAAGTTATCTTTGTTATACGATATCCTTTCACGTGGATTTCAAGAAAATGGCAAAATAACATGCTCCATACACTTACTAGTGACTCTGAAACTACCCGCATCCAAACAAGATCCATTCTAACTGATAGGGAAGCTCTGCCATTCAACAAAAAAATAACATGAGTAAAATAGTCAGAAACGATGAGAAACGATAAACGCGTTGATCGCCGTTATACGCACTGTAGAGCACAGGTGTAATCACTCCTTGAGATACTTTTCTACCTGATACAGAATTCTCAAGAACAAGCCACTATCCAACGCTTTAATTTGGAGATGTCTTGCAACGGTTTTGCGAACGTTATAAAGACTTTCGTCAGTCCCTAATTCCTGCAATTCTTTAACTAATTTCGGCCACTTCTCAGAATACCTCGAGTCAGTTTTACGCTCACCCGAACGCCAAGGTTTGATGCTAACCATCTCGCGTTCCTCTGATATCTACACTGTAACGTAACCTGCCGCTGTCACGGTTGTCACGAAGTCATGATGGATTACTTATATAGCATTGCATTGGACACGTGTAACTAGTCCTACGCACATCCAAGGCGAATAAAAGCGTTGTTGATCAACCAACCAACGATACATACCCATTAAATTTCACTAGGTTTACCGCCTTATTACTACACAACTGCTTTACATACAATCAATTAAGGTGGATGGAAATGTTCGTTTGGGTCTGTGTCTGTGAGGTGGGTGTCTTGTGACAAATCTATTCTTAGCAGTAGTGAGCTTCGCAATTAAATTTTTCTACTTCTATTTGGATAGACCTGACATGTTAATATGTTGTGTTTGATGTTTTTCTCTCTCAATGCAGACTCTAAGAACTATTGTCAAGGAGTCACTTCAAAAGGTTGCGAACATTGGAGGGGGTTCGATTGCCTTTACCGTTATTGGAACTGGAAGACTCAGATTTCCTGCAAACGATGCCTGTAGTATCATGGTAGATGAAGTACTGAAGTTCTTCCAGAGCAACTCAGAATCTTGCTTCAAAGACGTGCGGCTAATCGCATTCCATCAAAACAAAATCACGAGCGAAGCACTTCGCCAGGTGTTGAAGAGCACACAAGAGAGTGATAAAAGAAAAACAATGTTCTCGATGCCTAAGCCTGTCATTGCAGTCCATGAAGAAATCCGTCGAGTTAGCGTTCAGATCAAACGAGGCAATTTGATTCATGAAAACACTGACGCTATTGTGAACGTTATCGGTCCTGATATGAACATGAATGCAGCGGGAGATTTGAGCAGGAGTCTAGCAAAAGCATGTGGTCCTAAAGTACAAGAAGAATGCAGACTGCAGTCACCACAACAGGCGGGAGAGGTGGTTATGACAACAGCAGGGAATTTGCCAACGCAATCCATCATCCATTTAATTCCAAAATCAAAAGAAAATATCTCAAAGTGCATAGAAAAATGTTTGCAGCTTGCCGATAGGAAAGGTTTAGGATCCATCTCCCTTCCTGCGATTGGAACTGGAGGATTTGGATTGTCAGCCAAAGAATCCGCAAACGTCATCTTCCAGGCACTTAGCAGCCTTAGCTTTACCGGCCACCTCGGACTTGTCAGTATTGTTATATTGCATGCGCGAATGATAGAGTCCTTTCGACATGAAAAGGAAATGCGCGCAATACCGTCGTTAGCATCAGCAGTTACGAAATCTACCCATACGCCGAGCATTGCACTGCATATTGAGATCTTAAAAGGAGATTTAACTCAGCAACATACAGACGCCATTTTTAATACCATTAACACAGATATGAACATGCGCAACGCCGGGCGAATAAGTTCCGCAATTGCTGAGGCCAGCGGTCACCTAGTAGAGGACGAATGTGCAAAATTAAGTCCGCAGCCCGGAGGATCAGCTGTGATTACAAATGGCGGGAAGCTGAAAGCACGTCATATCATTCATTTAGTCCCCCTTTCCTCCGATAAACATCACCTTCAAATGTGCCTCGAAAATGGTCTTCGACTCGCCGAAAAATGTGGGCTACATTCAATTTCAGTTCCAGCAATCGGCACCGGTGGATATGGTTTAACAGCCACGCATTCAGCTAACATGATTTTTCAGGCCCTTGAAAACGTTGGCAAAGATTGTGTGAGCATTCGTCAAGTGAACATCGTAGTATTTAATGATGAAAAGATTCACGACGCTTTTAAAATTGAGAAAGACAAATTGCAGCAAAATGTTCGTGTGGATAGAATTGAAACTCAACCAATGACGCAAAGTGTTAGAGTCTAGGTCACCGGATGTGATACCACAAAAGTGTCCAAGGCAGTTGAAGATTTGACAAGTGGTTTTTCAAAGGAATGCAAAGAAGCCAAAGTAAAAGACGTCGGAATTGCACAACTTTCAGAAAGTCAAGTCAACTTGCTAATGGGTGAAGCACAAGATTTGGACATTCAGATGGTCTTCGACGCCACGAAAAATTGCATTAAAGTACGTGGGGACGCCAGCGAGGTACAGATTCTGGTTCCAAAGATTTACGAAGAGATAATCCAAAGACGAGAAGAATTACAAGACGAGCAAGAGGAGGAGAACGCCAAGATGATCTCCAAAATTGTACAGTGGTCGTATGAGACCAAGGATGGGATGGAAACTCAGTTTGACTTGCGTACGAATTACAACATCGAGCTGGCTCACAATAAAGGAAAAACAAGTGTAACTTTGCCTTTCAAAGACGACAATTTCTCCATTGATCTGAGAGAAATGACTGCAATGGGACAACAATATGGTGAAGCTATTATTCTAAAACGAAACCGCAAAGATGCAGAAGGTAATAAACTTTCATTTCTTATGAACAGAGGTTGGAAATCTTTTGTGAAAAGATAATGGTGATATATCTCTATTTTCCATTCCATTCCCTTCATATAAGAGGGCAATTTGGTTCCCCGAGTTGATAATGTTATTTGGCCCCCGTATAGAGTTTCAAACGTTGACTTTTCGAGCGTTAGCTCAAGAAACTCTTTACGTCGGCCATTTACATTATAAACTCAACTCAGTCGATACAACCAAATTACCTTGTAATACTCCTCGCCAGCGCCGCACCACAGTTTCTTTAGAAACTTTCCCCCTTTCTTTTATTCAAAGGTTTGTTTAGAGCTTGACCTTCTAAAGTTTGCATGTTTTAAAAGATTTCATCATGAAATGTACTGAGGTCAGAACACTTTATCGAGGACAATTAAAGTATTCAGTTTATCAACTCATCAATAATTATTTTATAAATAGCTGATTAATTCGTTTTCTTTTATGAATGTTATTCCGAAGGAGTTCCATTGCCAGAACACTGGTCCCCAATGACGACTGATGAAGATTTTGAAGCTGTGCAGCTGGACACCAGATCAAAAGAGTATCAACAAGTCGCTAACAAATTGTTATCTGCTGCCAAAGCGAATCTAACGATTAAAAGAATTGAACGTATACAAAACCTTTTTAAGTATAAGAAGTACATGTTGACAAAGCTAAAAATGGAAGAAAGAAAACATGGCGGAAGCAATGAAAAACATCTGTTTCATGGTACATCTAGTAAAAGCTTCACTAGCATCAACAAAGAAGGCTTCGACAGAGGCTACACTGGAATTCACGGTGAGTATCATATAGTTCCATATAATGAGTCCGCGTTTTTAGTTGACCTGATCACCTTTCATCTAGTATTAGAGGTTATTACGTATTTCGCCAGCCCCCTTCCTAATTGGTGCGCTCAACCAGTACGAAAATCCTGTTGTGAAGTAAAATTCTTCTTACTTTGTTCATTTTACAGTTGTTTAAATTCATATTTGAATTTTTCCTCTAACCTTGAGAGTCTTACAATCTCGACCGCGCACTCGCTTTTCATTTATCGTTTAGTGTGGCTTTCAAACAAACACGGTAGAAGTCAACATTAGTACTGCTTTATAATCTCAATCAATCATCGTAATATTTCCAAGCAATACTTCGCAGTGACGTATAAACTTTGAAACACATACTAGCAGCTGTGCCCGAGTTTAAGTTAAACTGAATACTGAAGTATTCAGGTGAAAAGAGGAGCTCACCAGGGTGCCGACTCGAGCCGACTCGAGCCGACTCGAGCCGACTCGAGCCGACTTTGTTCCGACCTTGTTCTCTAAACGTAAAGCAGAGGAAGTGCACAAAGTCTCAGCAAAAGCGATTCCACCCGATTACACACCAAATTGTACCGACTGGATTTCCGAATTGAAGAGATGATGTCCTCGATTTCTCGAACATTTTCCGTACACATCCATAACACATTTACTGACTTTTAAACGACATACTTACTCACTTAGTAGAAGTTGCGGTTTGGTGGCCAGAGTTGTTACGCGATGATAGGCAGAAAGCATCTCATCTCGCCCGACTAGGATAGAAGAAATGGATCAGGTACAAATTAAGCATCACATGAATGTTTTTTTAACTTACATTTGGCAGGAAAAATTTATGGCAGTGGTGTTTACTTCGCAAGGGATGCACGTTATTCCGAGAGCTACACAGAGGCTGATGACAATGGTGACCGGTATATGTACCTTGCTCGGGTACTTGTTGGATCATTCTGCCAAGGCACTCCAGAAATGAAAAAACCTAAGGTTATCGATTCAAACGGTTACGAGATCTCGTTCGATTCGACCGTTAATAGGACGGTAAATCCTACGATCTTTGTGGTGTTCACTGATGATCAATGTTATCCTGACTACTTAATAACTTTTAGATGAAGTCCATAAATCTTAACCGTTACCATCCGAGTATGAACTTATCACGGTCTAAGTAACTAGCTGTTGTATAATTGTATCAAGGCTCAGTTTTCTAGAGTTGTCGTCTTGTTTTGAACTAGAACGAATAAGCTGTTTTCATGTTTAAAATGCTTGCATGAAATTGTAACATGACCAAAGTAAAGCGCGCGCTCTGATTGGTCAATTTAGCGTCCCCCATTTGCCCCTGGGTGTACGCTGCTGACGTGAGCAAATGCAAAGACTATTTTTCTGCGCGCTTGTTTTTTCTGGTCACGTAAGATTTGTTAAATAAAAGGGAACTCTTTAGCTACAATGTATCAATGTTATGTTATAAAACAAATGGTAAACACCACAGCGTACACTATTGAGTTATGGATGCACTTGGGAGGTTTGCTAAGCACTCAAGAAGCTAGAGTCGCTCTCGGCTATCGCCTCGAGCGACTCTTACGCTTCTTTCGTGCTTAGCAACCTCCCGCGTGCATCCATAACTCAATAGTGTACGCTGTGGTGTTTACCATTTGTTTTATAACATAACATTGATACATTGTAGCTAAAGAGTTCCCTTTTATTTAACAAATCTTACGTGACCAGAAAAAACAAGCGCGC